TACCCCTTTCGCCCGTCCTCGCTGCGTGTTTATACGCGGGCGGGCTCGCACTTGGCGCGGACCTCACGGCGTGTAAACCGTCCCGTAACGTTGCGCCGGGCGCTTTCTGCGTGCACCGCGGGCGAGGGTGAGCTGTTCTGTTGGAAAATCCGAACGAGAAATTACCACGTGGCAACCCGTCCGCACGAAGTAATGCGGTACAGCATCACTGCAGCGATGCACGGGGCTTATCCTAGAACGAGAGACCGCAGCAGTAGGGCACGGTCTCTATCATCCTCCCTTGCAGCTCCAAATTAGTGGGTCAGGAGGTACCTCCGCGGTACCCGGCGGTACCTCCCCTCCGCACACTCGCGGCGCTCCCAGAGGGTGGGTCATGCACCGGGGGCGCGGGTCCAGCAGCGTGTCCAGGGGGGCCGGGTGGAGCCGGAAGGGCGACCTTTCCCTCCCTCTCCCTCTCCCCCTCCCTCGCTATCCTTTTCTCCCTCTGCTCGCGCACCGTGTGCCATTTCTTTGCCCCCTAATTGTTTATCTCATTGTCCGGCAGGACGTCCAGCCCGCCACGCCCCGCCACGCCCCGCCTCCGCACAACGCCCCCTCGGCGGCGGCGCATTCTTTTGTGCACGGTTCGGCCGCTCGTTTCTGCTGCCCAGTCACCCACCTCCTCCCCCCCTTCCCCCTTGCCTCCCGCTGTGGTCTGGCCGCCCTCTCACACGTACTCAACCCTCTCCGACCCACATAGCGCCACCCCCTGCTTCTTGTTCTTTTTACTTTCCCTCTCTCTCTCTCTGTCTCTCTCTCGCTCCTGGTTCTCTCTGCCCTTTCCCCCCTCGCTGGGCGAAAAAGAGCAAAGCCTTCCATCTCGCTCCGAACAAGGAGTAATTTGAATGTTGGTGGCGCGCTGGGCCGGGGCGGCCAGCCGGCCGGTCAGCGAGCGTGAAGGGAGGGAGAGGGGCGGCCGAAAGAGAAGGGGAGGTGAAGGGGAGGAGAGGCCCGCTTAACGGCTGTCCTGATTTAACGCCAAGTTTTATCATCAATAAACACGTGGAGGAGGCTGCTCGCCGCGCCCGGCCACACGATCACGCTCGCCACACCACACCACCGACCGGCCGCGGCTGCCGGCCAACTCCGCCAAGTGCCTGCTATAGCTGCTCTGCTCCAAACGCTGCTGACGCAACTCTCTAACGCTGTGCTCCTCTCTCTTGTTTGCAGACTTCCACTTCGTACCCGGCCACCCCGGCTTCGGCACGCTGGCGGGCATGTTCCCGCCGCAGTGGCTGGACGCGGCCTACCTCAGCTACGCCTGGCCCGACTACTTCCGGAGGCCGCCGCCGCTGCAGCCGCAGGCCCCGGCCGGCGCGCAGGACCCTCTGTGCAAGATACCCGGGCTGTGTCCCACCAAAGGTGAGCATCGAGGACTCGGCAGAGTGGTCACCGTCTGGAAACGAGACGCATTCAATCAAACTTTCCGCTTCCGTTTCGCCGTCTTTCTAGCATTCGCGGTTTTCGTCTCTCTCTCTCTCTCGCTCTCTCCCTCTCTCTCTCTCTCTCTCTCTCTCTCTCTCTCTCTCGAGCGCGCGCGGCTGGCAGAGACTTCATCCCCTGAAAGCATATCGCACATATATTTGTATTTTTTCCCCTCGGTTTTTGCGAAGCTCTCTCACGACATTCGAGATTGACACTTTGCACGTCGCGCTGCCAATTACGTCGTCGCCAATCTGCGAGAAATTATTAACGGATGTTTGAGCGTGTATCAGCTGGGCCGGCCAAGACGTGGGGTGGGCGCGGCGCGGCGCGGCGGGTAGGGGGATGGGATATAGCAGGAGGGTTTCGGTACGGCGTGTCAGCGTGTCCTGACAAGGGTGAAAATATTGTCATTTGCCCCCTGCCCTGCCCTGCCCCGGCCTACCCTCCCTCCCTCCACGCTCTCCTATTACCTTCCGTGCCCATTTGTGTCAATATCGCCTCCGCTCCTCCCCTATACGTCTGTCCTCTTTTCTATCGTCCCCGCTCTTGCGCAGCCAGCAGCGCGCGAGTTCCTTTTTCTTTCTTTTTTTTTTGTCCCTGCCCGTTTATTTCATTTTCCGCTTTTTATCCCCGCACTCCTCCCCCCGCGTCTGGCTCTCCTTTTCCCATGGTTTTTCGTGGGGCTGCCGCGGGTGGCCGCGTCCGGTCGGCCAGCGGCGCCAGCCCTCCGATTGACTGCATTATTTACAGCGCGTTATGGACCCGTTATTGGCAGTCCGCGAGGCGTTATGGGCACTCCGGCTCGCCGTCAATTAGACCGCACTGCCCTGGAGCGTTCCGCGGGCGGTGGGGTCACCGTAGAGTGACTGGAGTCACCGTAGACTGACTTGGGTCACCGTAGACTGACTTGGGTCACCGTAGAGTGACTTGGGTCACCGTGGTGCCGCGAGAGCTCCGCGAGTGTGACTTACCGAACCCTGGCATGCCGTCGGTCTAGCCCAGCCTCACTGTCGGCGAGATCAGACGCGCTGACCTTGCCTCCCCCCGGGGTGTCCGCGTCCATACGCTCGTTCGGCCCCGCCCGGGCGCGGACTCGGCCATGCAAATTCGATGATGGTTCTTCTGGCTCTCCTTCCCCTCCGATCCTCCTCGAGGCGGGCGGCGGCGTCTTGTCTGGAGGCTCTCGGCGAGCGGCCACTCTGCCTGCCCCTGTTTGCATGACAAGGGCCCCGCGGCGGGGCGAGGGCCCGCGGGCGCGCTCGAGTGAGCCGGTGTCTCCCCCGCCCAGCCCCGGCGTTCCCTTTGCGAAAGAGATCGGGGCCGCTGAGCTGTGATGCTGCGCGGAGGTCAGCCCCGCCGGGGTCGGCTCCACCGCGGTTCGATACAAACCCACTTTATAACTGGACGCTGCTGCCGCCGCCGCCGCTGGGAAAAGGTTGGACCGGACCCTACCGACCTCGCGCGTCCCTCGGCTCCCACTCGCGTACTTTGGACCACCCTCTCTCCCCTTCCCTCTTCTACCCCGCATCCCCCGCCTCCCCCACCTCCCCCACCCACGCCGCGGTCGTAGACGGACAGCGCGGCGCGCGGCACACGCACAGAAAATTTCAAATGATGGAGCGGGGAGTGCGGGTGTGCTCGGGAGGGGCAGGGGATGAGATTTCTCTCCTTCTCTCTTTCTCCCTCTCTCCTTCCCCTCTCCCCCCTCTCCCGCTCTCGGCGTGCCGCAGCCGAGACCCGCTGGCCCCGGTGGGTTTGCTACCACAACCCCTGCTTCTCCCTAACCACCCTCTCGCGAGGCTACCCCCCGCCACGCCCCGCCACGCCACCGCGTCGCGTCCCCGGCGGAGTGGTGGCGAAGCTAAAGGGGCCGTCTGCAAATCACGTGCGACTTCATCGCTCCATTTTATGTTCCGAAAAAGAGGGGTATACCGGTGGACACGCGAAAAAATAAAATATAGGATGGACTCTGGGGAATTGCGCGGACGGGCGAGTTTCAGGAAAAGTTGAGGGTGCGGCCGGGCGGCGTGGGCGAGCTCCAACAAAAATGTTGGTCGAGTCGGGCTCAGGTCTGGCCCCTGGCTGGGCCCCTGGCCGTGCCCCTGGCCGCCGCGCTCGCCACGCCACTCGCAGGGAGTTATGCGGTTACCCCTGGCGGCACGGTTACCCGCACGTCTCATTGCCCCACAAATACCTCAAACAAACACGCTGCTTTTGCCGCATATCTCTGCGCTCTGCGCGCCGAGCTGGGACCGGTCGACCCGCGCCGCGCCCCCCGCGCTTTTGTTGCTTCTGTTGGAAACTGCGCGGGCTCGGGCGCGGCGCGTGCTTCCGGGTCCGGGCGGGGGACAGTTGACAATCGGCGGATCCGCTGCGCGCCCCGCTCGGGGTCACCGCGCCGCCGCTGGCCAGGGCGCGTCCCCCCCGCCGGGTTCCGGCTGCCGGAGCAGCGGGCGCGCTGAGTTAAAAAGCATTCCGGTCTGGACTCTGGACCGGGGCGCCTTTGTGGTACCTCTTTCCCGCCCCCGCCACGCCTCGCCACGCCCCGCCACGCC